ACTCAGAAAGGGGGAAAAAAAAAACCAACCAAAACACACACAAACACACACACACACACGGGCTAGAGTAGCGGATTTCAAATTCGAGTTTTAGAATTACCCAGCGCTCTCATGAAAATCTGGATGCTTAGCTCCACCCCAGAGTTTCTGATTCACTGTTTGGGATGGGAACCGAGAATTGTAATTCTAACAATATCTTTGGTGATGCTGATACTGCTGGTTCCATGATCACGCTGAGAATCACTGGGCTAGAATTTTGTCCTTCCTTTCTTCCCACTGATTTCGAGGCAGCCGTCGGCCCCAAAAAGAAACAGGCAGCTTTGAGTCCAGTTCCCAGGAATGCGAAAGTGACTCAATAGACTCAACCGCAAAGCCGTTTCCGGGCGGCCCAAAACCGCGCGAGAGTTTACGTGACGGCGTCGGCGTCAGCGTCACGTCGTCGCCGGCCACGTTCAGCGGAGACAGGAGCAAGATGGCGATTCCGGGCAGGCAGTGAGTGATCCGGGAGTTAGGGTCAGGCTGGGGAATGAAAAACTACGGCGACTTTGTCTTTGGCTGAGGAGTCAAAGTGCGCTGGAAGTGAAGGGGCCGTGTCGTCAGGGATAGAGACGGGGAAAAGCGAGAAATCCTCTGCAACCTAGATTCCCCACCCCCATACATTTTGCAGGATGGAAGCCCGAAGTTTGAGGGAGAAACTTGTGAGGAAATAAAGGAAGTTAGGCTGAGGGGCAGAGAGCGAGACTTTTCTATTTTCCAAAAGCTCGGTCTGAGGCCCCTCAGTCTTGCTTCCTACCCCGCGCTTGAGTTTCTCCCCGGTTGGATGCTCTCTCAGGAGCACTAAGAAGAGACAATTCCTGGTTTCCTTAGAGGGCCTTGTTCTCCTTGGCAGAAGCTCAAGTCCTGATTCCCGCCCTCCCTTCTTGTTTTAGGAATGTTGTGCTGAGAAGCCACAGAAAAGGGTAGGCATTTAGGGAATTGGTGTATACATTGCCGCAAAAGAGAAATATTGTACGTACTTAAAAGTTTTTACCTTTGATGTGTAATCCTTAACTTTCGATGCGGTTTCCGTGATCTCCGCATCTTAGAGGCCAACACGTGAGAAACTAAATGAGTTGAATCTGATGGGATGGTTCTCTTAGATGCTCCAAGACAAAGCAACTGAGCTTAATAAAGTGTAATGGGAACTTGGCTCGTCGCTATTTGGATTTCTCAGTTAAATAATTTCTAAATTTTTTCGTGCGTTACATTATTTAATAGCTTCTTAAAAGCTGTTGAAGTACGCAGGAGAAAAAAAGTCTGGTTGTTTTCTTGACTCCTGTTAGATCACGAGGCTAATTTAGCTTTTTTTTTTATTTTTAGCAGACATGAACTGTGCTTTCCACTAATATGTGTGTGTGTGTGTGTGTGTATAGGTTTTGTTTTTTTTTTATGTTACTTTCACTTCACCATCTGAAGCATTTCTGAACTTTTCATTTATTTCCCTTCCTTGACAAAAATGATATTTGACTTTGGCCCTGGTCTACAGATAATCGGAATAGAAATTGTAAAATCGTAATGCATATTAGAATTTTGAGGTTACTGAAAATCAAAAAGTGTGTTTGTTTTTGTAGACTATTTGACATATTTTGACCTGATAACTTCATCTGGAAGAGGTAGTGGATGTATTATTTTTTGACATTTAAAGATAATGGTGTAATTTCTATTTCAAAAAAAAAAAAAATGCAGGTATGGGCTTATTTTGCCAAAGAAAACACAGCAGTTGCGCCCTGTTTTGCAAAAACCTTCAGTGTTTGGGAATGATTCTGATGATGATGATGAGGTAAGGGAACCTATGTTTTACTCCTATATCGGAAATAGAAATTTTATAAAATCTTAACTTGTGATATAGATGTTTTTGCGTTTGTTATTTGTGAATAGTATTTTAGAATATAATTTACGGAATTATCAGAAGGAATGTTTAAAGGGAAAAGCTCCACTCATTTTTCTTTATAACCTAATAGGTTTGTTTTTTTTTTTTTTTCTTTATAACCTAAAGCTGTGAACTTCATTTGCTCTAAGAGTTAATACAAATTTTTTTTTCTGATAACTAAAATTGAGGTAACAAACTTATTGCTATTAAAATCCCTAGGAGCTGGGTGCAGAGGCATCTACTTATAATCCAAGCTACTGGGGAAGCTGAGGCAGGAGGCTTGTAAGTTTGAAGGTAGCCTGGGCAACTTAGACTTTGTCTCAAAATTAAAAAAAAAAAAAGAAGAAGGAGGTGATACTGGGGCTGTAGCTCATTGGTAGGTAGAATGCTTCCTTAGCTTAGCATGCAGGTGGTGACCCCAGGTTCAATCCCTAGTAATGGCAGGTCGAGCAGCCTAGGAATGAGTTGTTAACATGTTACCATTTCCTGGAAAGTTTATTAGCAAAGACATTTTTAATTTGTTAACCATGCTCTAGCTAGCATGACTGAGTAACAGTTCTTTCTGGTATTACTTTTGTGGTTATTTCTTCAGTGTCTGCTAAAGCTAATTACACAGTTAAAATTACAGTAGTGAATACAGTTATTGTTGATGTACTACAATAATAATATCATATGAAAATTTTCTGTTGTAGCATCTGTAACAATATTTTTTTGAGAAACCTAGTTTTTAGCAGAAACAGCTACATGTCTGTTTTTCCTAATACTGTATTTTTTATATTTCTTAAAACAAAAGACCTTTGCATCAGTTCATCTGGTACCCCTTTTGCTCTGGCAGAAAAATAGCTTCTCTTTCAGTTTTTACTAACTATATAGTAGCATAGATAAATATTTGATATTTTCTTCTTTTGAAGAAATTGGCTATATTTGAATCGTACTTTTTAAAATTGAGGTTGAACTTAGACGTAATAAAAATCTGTAGATTATAAATATATAGGTAAATGATTTTGATAAATGTTTTTGCCCTAATCAAGATGTAGAGCTTCTTTTTTGTACATAATTCCGTGCCCCCTCTTCAGTCAGTTTACCTTCCCACATTTTGCCCCAGGAAACTGCTTATATGAGTTCTATCACTAGTTTTCCCTATTGGAGAATCTCATATAAAGGAAATCATTCAGTGTGTACTCTTTTTATGTCTGGTTTCTTTTTTCCTAAGTATGTCAGTGAGATTATCCATGCAGTCATAGAATCACATTTTACTGAAAATGGATTTTTTCCCTTTAATAGCTATGTAAGTTTTTCTTCTATTTTTGTGTTTTTATTTCCTCATACACTTTAAGAATAGTTGAGTATAAGAAATGAGTCAAGATTTCTAGTTGAATCTGTGTAGGTAGCTAGATTATTTTCAAATAGCATATTTAGAAAGTTATTAATTACAACTTGAATTTTTTGTTTCTAGATACTTTGTTTCAATAAATATTTAATATAGGTTAAGAATTGATTAGTTTTGTAGTTGTAGCCTGTGTGCTTTATTCTTTGTGACACCTTTATAACTTTTTTTTGGAGGAGGTTAATATACACTGGCTTAGAATTTTTTGACTTTATGAATCGTAAATTCAGAAGCAACAAATATTCAGTAGAAATCATACATTGAATTGTGATCTTTTCCTTGGGCCAGCTGTACAGTGCTTTCTTGTGTGATGGTGGGCAAAGGTGTCAGTCAACTATACTATCATGAGAGTAAACAACCCATCTATAGTATAATGTGTTACTGAGCTATGATGTTCAAGTTAGGTGTATTAAATATATTTTTGACTTAAGATATTTATCAGGATAACCACACTATAAATTGTGGCACATCTGCATAGTGTTGTGTTTAGCCAATTTGTAGTTTAATAAGAAACACATTTTGGGGCTGGGGTTGTGGCTCAGCAGTAGAGCATTCACCTAGCACGTGCGAGGCCCTGGGTTCGATCTTCAGCACCACATAAAAACAAACAAAATAAAGGTATTGTGTACAACTAAAAAAAATAAAATATTTTTTAAAAAATAAGAAAGACATTTTATCCTTTATTGTATTTTTTATCTTTATACAAGATTTTTCTGGTCTTTTTCCCCCTTTAAAATATCATCAAGCCTGGCGTGGTTGTGCACACCTGTAATCCCAGTGTCTTGGGAGGCTGAGTCTGGAGGATCAAAAGACTTCAAAGCCAGCCTCAGCAATTTAGTGAGGCCTTAAGCAACTTAGCTTTGACCTTGTTTCAAAAGCAAAACATTAAAAGGGCTGGGGATGTGGCTCAGTGGTTAAGTTCCCCTGAGTTCAATTTCTGCCCCCAACCCCTGAAAAAAATCATTGAGATAAAATCCACAAACCATATACTTCACCCTTTTAATTCTGCAATTTACTGGTGTTTAAAAGTTGTACAACCACCACCATCTAATTTTGGAACATACTTCATCACCCAGAAATAAACTTGGAGCCATTGAGATCACTCCTCATTCTCCCTATCCCCAAACCCTGGCCACTACTAATCAACTTTCTATGACCATGGATTTGCCTATTCTGGAAATTTCATATAAATAGGATTATGCACCTTTTGTGGCCAGCTTCTTCCACTTAGGATAATGTTTTCAAAGTTGTACCCTATATCACAACTTTTCTTTTCCTCTTCTTTACTCTCCCCCGCCCCCCAGTGGTGAGCGTGGAAGCCAGGGCCTCATGCAGGCAACTTTTTTTTTTTTTTAATTACTGAATAATGCTCCACTGTATGTATATACCACAATTTTTTAATCCATTCAGCAGTTGGTGGACATGTTAATTGTTTCCAGTAGCTGGGTATTATAAATAAATAACATTTGCTATATATATTTGTATAGCAGTTTGTATATAGGTTTTTGGGTGGACATGTGTTTTCCTTTATAACATGTAATCAGGTATGTATGTGGAATTGTTAATTTATATGATAACCATTTTATCTTTTAAAGAATTGCCAGACTGTTTTCCAAAGTAGCTACACCATTCAATTTTCCATCAAGCAGCATTGAGGGTTCCAGCATTTTCACATCCTCCCCAACCCTTTTTTTTTTTTTTTATAGACTTCTAGTGGCTCTAAAATGGTATCTCATTATGGTTTCAATTTCCTTTTTCCTGATGAAATTTTTGGTTCTTTAGAAATGTCTGGGGCTGGGGTTGTGACTCAGTGGTAGAGCACTTGCCTAGCATGTGTGAGGCACTGGGTTTGATCTTTGGCACTATATAAAAATAGATAAATAAGCTGAGTACGGTGACTGCACACCTGTAATTCCAGTGGCTTGGGAGTCGGAGACAGGAGGATCGCAAATCCAAAGGAGCCTCCGCAACGGCAGTGCATTTAGCAACTCAGTGAGACCCTGTCTCTAAATAAAACACAAAATAGGGCTGGGGATGTGGCTTAGTGGTTGAGTGCCCGTGAGTTCAATCCCCACTACTACCCCCCACCAAAAGATAAATAAAGGTATTGTCTACAGCTAAAAATAAAAAAAAAATTTTAAAGAGAAATGTCTGTTTGTATCATTTACCTATTTTTAAATTGGGTAGTGTTATTTTATTATAAGAGTTCTTTATATATTCTAGATACGAGTACCTTATTAAACACAAGATTTGCAAGTATATATGCTCCATTCTGTGAATTGTCTTCATTTCTTGATAATGCACTTTGAAGGACAAAATTTAAATTGTGAGTAAGTCCAATTTATTCCCCCCTCTTTGGTTGCTAGTGCTTTAGTATTATATCTAAGAAACCATTGCCTGATTGAAAGTCACAGAGATTTATAACTATGTTTCCTTCTATAGTTTTGTAATGTTAGCTCTTAAGTTAGGTCTTTGACTCATTTTTAAATCACTTACCAAGGATATGACAGAAAGATAGAACATGTTTATCCTGTAGTTTCACATTAATTCAACCTGGTATACTGTGTAATACAAATTACAGTGTACCCCAGTTTGAGAAGAACAGGATTACATGGTCTAAAAAGTGTTTACTCATGTTATTACTGTTTCTTTTGCATTGTGAAATGAAGGTGATGGTAGCTGAACAGTGAGTGGGGTACGATAGCCAAAAAAGGACCTAAGCCATTTGTTGTAGCTTTTTTCTTCCCTCCCCTAGAGGGACTTTAATGCAGAGAATGCATTACACAGGTGATAGAAGAGTTGAGATGCCAAATAGAAGATGACTAGGCAATCCAGGGATTAGCAATAGTAAGAAGCAAGTAGTGATAAATGGAGGGATGCAAGAAGGTGATGGGTGTTAGAGGCCAAGAATGAACATAACCAAATGGGAACTAGACTTATCTAGAAATAACAGGCTCATGGGGGAATTTGAGTTTTATGTAGAGAGAAAGGAAAAAGTACCCTGGCATTCTCCTACCCTCCACTACACTATCTTCGACTCCTACTGGTGGAGCCTAGTCAGAAACCAGCCAACGAGGGAGCTTAGTTGTTTTTTTTTTTTTTTAGTATCCACAAAAATTTTTATCATTAACTCTTAACTAGGAGTGCTTGTATTTTGGAAGACTTCCTAAACTAAAAATATAGGTAACTACAATTTATAGAATAGAGATTAACAAACTAGAAGTATCATAAAATGGGAGCTTAGTTCTTAATGAACTGACTATGAAACTTGTTTTACATAGTTTTACTTACCTATAAAAAATCATTTTGGGGGCTGAGGTTGTAGCTCAGTGATAGAGTGCTTGCTAGTATGTGTGAGGCACTGGGTTCAATTCTCAGCACTGCATATAAATAAATTTTTAAAAATTAAGGTCCATTGATAACTAAATTTTTTAAAAATCAATTTTTAAAAAAATCAATTTAATCAATAAAGCTTATTCTCATGCTGAGAAGTAAATTGCTTAGTTGAGTATGTTTTATTATTGTGGTTTGAATGTATGTTAAAATAATTTTTTCATGACTAATCCAACAGTTTAAGCAATAATAAAGTTAGGAGTGCTTTGGAAAATACAGAGAAAGGTTCTTTATGGTTTCCCTAGGAATTGGGAAAATAATGTTTTTTCTTTAGGAAAATATTTGATATCCCTGGAAAGGAACTGCTATGAAGCAAAACTGGTATTTTCATCAATTCAGCAGAAACAAGATACCCAATTTTTTTTTTTTTTAAACAGAGAGAGAATTTTTTAATATTTATTGTTCAGTTTTCGGCGGACACAACATCTTTGTTTGTATGTGGTGCTGAGGATCGAACCCGGGCCGCACGCATGCCAGGCGAGCGCGCTACCGCTTGAGCCACATCCCCAGCCCCAAGATACCCAATTTTTAAAAAATATTTATTTCTTAGTTGTAGTTGGACACAATACCTTTTATTTCACTTATTTATTTTTATGTGGTGCTGGGGATCCAACCCAGGTCCCACACTTGTGAGCCAAGCGCTCTACTGCTGAGCTACAACCCCAGCTGCCTCAAGGATCCAATTTAAGATCACATTTTATCTCCAGTGGTCCAGCAGAGGGGGCCCTAGCACATGAATTGTTTTTTGTTAAATGTTTATATTCAGGGTTAGTTTGAAATGGAAAATGGTAGTCTTTTAATTATTTAAGTATTTCCCTTTAAAATAATCAGAACTAATTAAAAATAATTATCACTTTGTTCAAAGGCAAGGGAAATTAAAGTTTTTTCCCCTGCTGAATAAGAAAGAATATTTTGATACTTCTGTGTGATCATTAATGTTTGAGTGGTTTTGCTATCATACTAATGTATTTATTCCAGTTTCTCCATACTGTCTTTTCTTTTCCAATCCCATGATTATCATCTTTATTACTTCTCGGATTATTTTAACACCTTTATAAATGGTTTCTTTATTACTTATTTCTCATTCATTTTAAATATTATTGTCTGATTGATCTTCCTAAAATACTTCTAATCACTCTTACTCCCCAGCTCCTGAACTTAATTGTATTTAATGCTTTAGCCCTAAAATACTTATTAGCAATTTCTTTTGCTTCTCCGTGCAAAGTATACTGTCTGGTGGTAATTTTTGTCAGATTGCTTTTTTTCACAGCATAAGTTTTTACAACTCTGTATGTCCAAATTATAGCCATCCTTCAAAACCTGATTCAAAAGTTACTTCCTGTAAGCTTTCATTTTCCCCGCTGAAAAAAATTTTTCCTTTCTTTGACACTCTTTATTTTTCTTACAGCTCTTAGCATTTTAAATTTTGTGTTAAAAGTCTATGCGTGCATTTTTTCACCATACTAGAGTGTGAGCTGGGATCTGGACATCTAGACTGGCTTCCAAGAATCGGGAAAGTTATTTACTCAGGTGGTTTAATTGTCTTTATTGTATAGAGCCAGATAAGTAGGTTGAGCATCCCTAATCTGAAATTCAGAATGCTCTAAATTCTGAAACTTTCTGAGTGTCCACATAATGCTGCCAGTTAAAATTTCACATCATAAGTCATGTACAGGATTACAATCAAAAGGCAGGTACATGTAAACATTGAAAATGAGTAATAAATATATTCTAATAAAATTTTATTTACAGGGCTGGGGATATAGAGAGTGCTCACCTAGCATGCGTGAGGCCCTGGGTTCGATCCTCAGCACCACATAAAAATAAAATAAAGGTCTTGTGTCCACCTACAACTAAAAAGACTAAACAAACATTTTTTTAAAAAAAATTATGTACAAAAACAGGTGGAGCTGGGCACAGCCTAGAGACAGAGGCTGGAGAATCACAAGTTTGAGGCCAACTTCAGTGACTTAGACCCTCAAAAAATAAAGGGCCAGGAATGTAGCTCAGAGATAGAGGGCCCCTAGGTTCAGTCCCCACTACCATAAAAAAAAAGAAAAAAACCCCTAATAACAAAAAAATGAGTGGGTTTGATGTGTCCAATGGCCTATAATTTGCTGAGCCCTTGAATATGATTATTCTCAAAAGTACTTGTGATAAAAGATATTTTACAAATTAGTGACAAGTATAGTTAGATGTTGGGTGAAAGATTAAACATGAAACTTTGTTTTTGATGTTAATTTTATGATAAATGCTTGTTTATTTTTCAGACAAAATAATGAATTTTCCCTTTAATCTTGCCAATTGAAATGTTTATTTCTAGGCAGCAGTATACTTTTTGAGATCCAGTTATGCAAAATAATTCATGTTCTCTGTAAAGATATGATGTGTTAGAACCTGAAAATTATTGCTCTCAGAGAAAACTGACCTTTTTAAGAGAGACTATTAATATTAAGTTAAACAGGACAGCTAAAATTTATGAACTTAGTTTTATGTGTATTTGTGTGTGTATATTTATGCACACACATACATAAATCATGTATGAATTTACTCAGAAGCTGTAGTATAGTCCTTTTACAACTTCAGCATTTTCATAAGATGTAAAGCACTAAATACTAGAAGAATAACACTAAAATCCCTGTCTATTCTTTTTCTGTACTGGTGATTGAACACAGGGCCTAGCATATGCTAGGCAAGTGCTCTATCACTGAACATCCCCAGCCCTTTTCACTTTATTTCTGAAGCAAAGTCTAAGTTGCCTGGGCTGGCCTCAAATTTGAATCCTCCTGTCTTAGACTCCTGAGAAGCTGGAACTTTAGGTGTGTGTCACCACGCCCAGCTGACCATTACAAATATTTAATCTTACTGTTTAAGAAATGTAAACCAAGACAGCATGCACTGTCATTTTTTTGCACTGTATGCAATAGCAAATACTTTTAATAATAATAAAATAATAATAAAAAAATACTTTCAAAAATAGATTTTGAAATCTATATAAAAATTTATACATGCTCAAAAGTATCTCAGAGTTCTTTAAGATTGCAAAATTTTAAATCAATCCACTTTCAACAGTGAAAGCATGGCTAAGTAAAGCAGTACAGATATCATCTATTATGTATAGCTGTTAAATTCATCATGAAATAACAAAATTTTTTTCATAGGTAGCCAGGTACAGTGGTACATGTCTATAATTCCAGTCTACCTGGGAAGCTGAAATGAGAGGCTCTCTTGAACCTGGGAATTTGAGGCCAGCCTAGGCAACTAGGAGACCCTGTCCCCAAACAAAAACAAAATGTAAGGATAGTAGACAGTAAACTATAAGCAGTTACTTTTTTATACTTTATTTCCCAAATTATCATTATTGTTATTATTTATTTTGTTTGTTTTGTTCTAGGAGTTGAATCTAGAACCTTGCACACAGTAGGCAAGTGTTCTACCACCCCCAAGTCCTTTTTAATTTTTATTTTGAAACAAGATTTCATTAAGTTGCCCAGGCTGGCCTTGAACTTGGAAGCCTACTATCTCAGCATGGGATTATAGATCTGTATCACTACACCTGGCTCCAATTTTTTTTAATATATATATTTTTTTAGTTGTAGAAGGATACAATATCTTTATTTATTTTTATGTAATGCTGAGGATTGAACCCACAATGCCTCACATGTGCTAGGCAGACGCTCTACCACTGAGCTAGAGCCCCAACCCATCCAAATTATTTTTTAAGGAAAAACTCAGGTGACTTTTAAGGATTTTCAGTAGGAGGATTTAGTTTCCAAATCATATTAAAATACAAGCGGGAATAATATATTTACTTAACATAAAACATACTAAGAGAATGTTGGTAACTATTTAAAAACATAAAATGGAATAAGCAGAATGCAAAATTGAATATGAATAGTTGTATAAAATTATATGCATTAGATAAGTAGAAAA